ACTACTACTACTACTACTACAACTACATACTACTACTACTACTACTACTACTACTACTACTGCTACTACTGCTACTACTGCTACTACTGCTACTACTACTACTACTACTACTACTACTACTACTCGTGCTACTCTACTAAAGGCATGCTAACACGGACGTGCCCATGATGCCTCCCAGCTCGTATTGCTAGCGTAAGTCTCACGCTGCTCTTGCAAGCACAGTTCGAGTTCACGTGGTGTCTTTTGACAGTGTAAACTCCTCGAGGAAGACGTACGGCTGGCCGTGCTTGAGAAAACGCTCACGCGCCTGAAAGCATATCAACATGCCATGAGTGCTCGCACCATTTTGTGAAGGTCAAGCACTGAAGGCATGTGGCGCGGAAAGTTGAAGCACTGCCGATTCGGACCCTCTTCGTTACACTTGTCAGACTGCTATGCATAACATTTCATCGAAACATCAGGATCTTACAGAAGCTGGCTGGAGGAAGGTTCATACAAACTGTAGCCGTGCCATTTTGCAAAGGCCGCGAAGTTTCGCAAGTCTGTGTGACGGAACTAGACTCGAAGGCCTGAGACACCAAAGCCAACAGTCTTTATGCAAGCTGTCGCAGGAATCAGCACCTCTAACCTGCAATCGACCTGAACAATTGTCCTCAGCTTCCTTTATGGATTCGGTCACTGGGTTAAGGGCTACTAGGGCGACGGGGTATTTGCGATGCAATCCTATAACCATCCCGCACCTTGCTGGAGGCAGATTTCAGGGCCCAGTCGTAGGCAGCCTGCAGAACCCTTTACACAGGCTTCTACCTCAAGAGGCATGCGCATTGACCTCTATATAATTGTAAATGCACAAAGAAAAAGGTAGATATACATATATTTATGTATATATACATATATATATATACACGCTATACTATAGCAGGTTTAGCGGTTTTGTGCAAGCCACACCAAGCCAAGCCACAAAAAAATGTGCGTCATGGAAGACCCTGTCTAGCAGAAGACACTGTGCAAACATAAACCTTTTCCGATGTACTCATGCTGTGGGGCCAACCGGTGTCGGCAGGCCCGAAAAAGAGCTGGACACGTGCGTACGTGCTGGACCACGACGACCATCATTGGGGGCATGGCCGTTTTTTGAGGCTTCCCACATGGTGGTTTGGGAAATTTGCGTCGGCATCATGAGCATCATGGTGTTCGGGCCCCGGGTCTTTGAATTTGGGGCTGCAGTGTGATGTCACCTTCACAACAGGCGCTCGGAGTGACGCAGTGATGCTCATGATGCTGGCCTCGAGGTGTGCCTTGGCCAGCCCGTGGCGCAATTCCCTAAATCATCAAATAATGTAGACTGGAGTTTGTGGCCGCATGCATGCGGATATTCGTACAATATTATCATTGGTGTGTACATGTGCACACACGTAGATACCAACAGCCCCACATACATGCAGACAACCTGCGAAAACTGAGTGGCCTGGTTGATGGACTGGCAGATCTTGCTGTTCAACTCATCCTCGGCTCCACATGCCCGTGACTTGAAGATGCGAGGAAGGTGAGCTCACCAGAAAATACCAGAAACAACGAACGCGAACTTCGGGACCCGCAGATTGCATGGAACAAGCGGCGTACAAGCTTCAGCTCCCAAGACACTACAACATTAAGGACCGCAAACACAAATGATTGCTCTGCGTGAGCCCACCAATACCAACCAAATCCTCTGTCACAAGCTGGAACTACGGGACCCGGCCAACAAGCTGACGAGCGCCGTGAGCCCCCGCTAAGAAGCTTGCTATTGTGCGGTCTCGTGTGCAACTTCATAAAGAGCCGAGAGCGCAGGGTCAATGTGAGACCATCTGAAATGACATGTCATGACGAAAAGGAAAAGTGTTCGAAACGAGATGGCTGCAGCCAACTTGCCGTGGCGGTGTAGTTGACATTCGGGAGCCCCGCTGCCTGTTTTAGTCTGACCTAGTCTCCAAAGAAGGACCCACAAACAGAGTTGGGCGCTGAAAGGAGACACTGTTGATGTCGTCTTGACTTTCGTACATTACAAGCGTCGGCTTTATCTCACATCAGTCGGCGAAAATAC